TCAGAAAAACCAGGCTTTACATACATCCTCATTAGTAAGCTGGGTTTAATTTTTTTTAATTGAACAGATTATCAGCTCCTTTTCCTTAACAGAAGCAAACCATAACAACCCCCCACCCCCCAAAAAAAAGAAAAATCCTAAGTGCTTTTGTTAAAAGTAGCAAGAATTGAAAAAGGAAAGCGGTAGAAGGAAATCTAGAAAAATGATATGAAGTGGAAAACAGTCTGAGAAACAATATGGTGGCACATGTGGCTGTGGAAAGGGGAAAAGGTAGACAGCAGACTTGAAATGGGAGAAGAATAAAAACACATCAACAAAGGCAATTTTAGCAGTGTTTACACAGTGAAATGCCTATATGCCAAATGATAAACAACAATAAAAAATGCAATCAAAGGTGCTCTTGGAACAGGGGAGAATCAGAAACTTGCTTCAGGTTGCAGCTCTCACTGGTTATCCAACACAATTGGTTCATGCTATTCCTCCGCCTCTTCTTTATTTGTTGCACAGAACTGGACTTGTGAATCAGACTGGCAGTCAGATGCAGACAAGGATCATGTTCTGTATCTGACTGCAGCAAGTACCTTGTCCATTGCTTAGGCTCCAGTTGCCTGGGGGACAATGTCCCACACTGGTAGACTGTAGCCTGGCATCAGCAATAAATACTTTTGTCCTCTCCCATCTGGACTACATCGAGACAGTGTATCTGGCAAGCAGCATCAGCCCCCAGAAAACCCTGCCACATGCAGAATGTGGCAGCGTGTCTCTCCTGCCACGCCGGCCACTGCGAGTTGGTCAAACCTGTGCTGTGCATTCACCAGTAGCTGCCCAAAGAGTTTCAAATCAAGTTCAAAGTCTCAGCAACAGTGTGAACCTACAACACCTGAAAACTTACCCAAAGAACTAAAGAAAGGAGAAAGAGTGACCTATACGAGGGATACCGATTGTGTCTCTAAATGCAGTTCTAGAAGGCAGGGAGATAACATAGCAATAACAGCGGCACAGACCCTGCACAGTACAGACAAATGGACCCTCTTTGCCCTGCTTCATTCTGACCCTACTTCCAACTTCCCTGTGGTCCAGGGCAGTAGTTCTCATGCCCTGCTTCCCCCAGACCTCACCTGCTGTTCCATAGCCCACTGCCAGCCCACTTCCTCTATTCCTCCCTCCCTCCTACCCCCAGGTACAACCTAACAGCCCCTCTCCCTGCCCCTGGCTGCTCTAGGCATGCTAGATGCAGCACAGGAAGCTGCAGAGCTGTAGGCACAAGGCTGCACCTGGACAATTGTCTCCACTTTTCAACAGACCCTCATCAGCACTGACCACCAACAGCACCAACAAGGCCACCATCAGCACAGCACTAAAGCAGCTCTGCTGTTGGTCATGGCAAAGCCTGCGTGCAGAGAGAAGCTCAGTGCCAGGAATGTTTTGTAGAAGGGAAGGAAGTGGAAGTCAGCTGCCCTCATGGCCCACCTGCCGTGCCATCAACCCACAATCCAGCTGAGAACTGCTAGTCTGGGGGGAAAGTGCAGGGGACCCAGAGACCATCAACTCACATTTTGCTGCTCCAGCTGCTGATTGTGTCTTTCTCCATTCACATCACTGTGTACTCCACTGAGAGGTTACACGGGGCCACTTACAACAGAGATAGGAATAGAACCCATCCCTCCCAGTCAGCAGGACAAAGCTTCTGGCTTTTAGCCACTGTGCCTCTTGGGAAGATGCTTCTGGATGTCTGTGCTTGGCTTTGCTACCTGTAAAATGGGACTTCTGTACATTCCTGTTCTAGGTGATATGCATCCTTCAGTGCCTGAGCCACAGGGCTTGCCACCTCCCTGCTGTACCAGTGAATGTAGTTATTCCGTTAACTTCAGAGGTGCAAATGCTGGTGCTGATGGTTCTGGTTCAAATCCTCGTGGGTTCCCTGTCCTGGGAAATGGTACCAGTTTCCTTTTCTCAAACTCCAGCAAGTTACATAAAGGTCAAGTGGAGGTATAGCAGCACAGCTCCACATCCAGGGTGGCCATTCAGCACTTGGGAAAGTGTTGGCTCGTGCCATGCTGACTGTGGTAGTGCAATCAGCTGCCACTGCAGTAACAATGTTTGTGCCTTGTACGAAGGTGGCGCCAAGGCTGCTGCTCTCATTACCCCTCACCCCTGCTATGCTACTGAAGTTGAGCTTTGTTAAAAAAGAATGATGCTGAAGCTGCAAAGCAAAACCCCCCAAAGCCAGGACACGCCATAATGAAAGCAGTCAGTATAAGCTTATTTTAGCTGCCCTGGCCCTATGAATTACAATACAGCTTTTAGCAACACGGTGACAAGATAGGGCATTTTCATCGCTGCAGGACTCCTTCCTCCATCACTGCACAGGATAGGGAAACTGAGACAGGTAGGTAATATGCCAGGGGGCCACTCAGCATTCCTGTGGCAAAGCCAGGGCTGGATCTCAGGGTCCCTTGGGGCTCAGTTGAAGATGTCCGAGAATCCCAGCACTGAAACAATCTGACATGGGCAAAGAGCCTGAATATTCAATGAAGAAAATTTGCAGGGCTGCAAGCAGCTTTCAGCTTGTTGGATGACTGCCTGGTAGCATGTGTGGGATGTGCCCATGCTTGTGCTGGAACTAAAGCCTGGAGCTTTCTGGTTAATGGGTTTTGTCCCTCTGCTCAGGTTCAGACTGGTCTCTACATTTGGTATCAGGAAGGAATTTCACCCCATGATCAGAGTGGCAAGGGTTTTTGCCTTTCTCTGTAGCTGGAGGCATGGCCCTCTTCCTTGGATCTCTGGAGTGCATGTAACAACCCTTGCAATAGCAGGACATGAGCAGTACCTCATACCTCCACTTTACCTGTGGCAAGTTAGAGTGCTCCTGGTGTCTTTAGGCAATACGCCTTGTTGCTGTGCAACAGGGTTGTTTGTGGAGTGTCAGGAACAGGTTAGATGCATGGGATGGTTTAGGCAGGGATGATTCTGCCTCAAGTAAAGGATTGGACTAGATGACCCCTGGAAGTCCCTTGCAGCCCTGCTTCCTATGATTCTATACTTTTTCAACGCCTTAAATAAAACACAGCAGGCATTTTAGAGAAGAAACTGACATCAGCTAACCCAGGCCACCACATACCTGAAACTCCAAAGCCAATGATCAGTGCAATCACTGCTGCGAGAATTAGGATGACGGTGATCGTGCTGTTTAAAAAAAAAAAAGGACATGAGAGATTATTTCACAGCTTTCTCCCCTCCGCCTCCCACACCTGCAGGGGGGGGACCTGTAGGGCTAAAGTGAGATACATTGGCAGAGCTGGGGTAGCAGCAAGCTGGTTTGGCCGGTTCTGAGGTGCATTAATAGAGCTCTGGGGGTATTCAGGCCTAGACCATTCCACCAGGAAAGGCAGCCTAAGTCCATTTGCTAACAGTGTTTCTAGTGGCCAATGTGAGTGGCAGCACTGTAAGCGGGGTCCACTCACATCCCTGCAACAGTCCCTTCCAGTGCCTCTGGTCTTGTTCTAGCAATGCAACCCTGCCAGCACCATTCTGCCCTGGACAGAGCAAAGCATGTTTTGTTGTAGGCCTGTGTGAAACCACCGCTCAAACCAATGTGCATGCACAACCCTACAAAGCACAGCCCAGTTTTGCTGGGTTGTTACACAGCAAGTAGCATGGTGGAGGACTGAGCACTGTCAGTCTCCTGCTTCCAGTCTCATGCTGAAAAGCCATATGTGTGTCACACTCGAGAGCTACACCCCCTAACCCTCCGAGTTCAACCAATTTTGCGCACTTACCTAGTTCAGACTCTCTTAGTACATGGCTGGGAGATCATCAAGAAAAACCCAGCATGCTGGTGAGGCTGATGAGGCCTCCAGCAGCACATTTATCACATGATTAACACAAGTCAAGCAATAAATTGCAACATGCTGTCATCGTCGCTGTCCTTGTCAGGTGATACTGATGAAGTCGCAGGGACTGCAGTCTCAGCAAAAGTCCACACATGCCACACATGCAAGCAATTTAGGACACAATAAAATGGCAAACCACCAACAAAGATGCTGCACATTTAATGGCTCCCCAGTACAGGGCTCCCTGCATTCTCATACTTTTAAAGGTGTGCTGTGCAGCCCAGCATGGGAGAACTGGTTCCTTGATGCTGGGCTGCATGATGAGCCTTTCAACTTGCTGGTACACAAACCTTCAAAGTCACAGACTCCCCGCATGTTGGCAAGTTGAAGAAGCACTGTATGGTATTGGCAACAGGGGATGACATGGTAGGGGACCTCCAGATCGGTAGCCATCTGGGGGATAGTGATCACCTAATAATAGAATTCACCATAAGACGTCGAGTGGGTAAGCTAACTAGCAGGGTGAAAGTGCTAGACTTTAGGAAAGCTGATTTCATTGAACTCAGGCGATTAGTCAAGGACGCACTGCAGAGTAGGAGTTTTGAAGAGATGGGAGCCCAAGAAGGGTGGCTGTGCCTTAAGGAAATGATCCTTCGGGCACAAAGCAAGACGATCCCCGAACGAGGCAAAAGGGGGAAAGGGGCCAGGAGGCTTCCCTGGCTGACCAGAGAAATCCAGGGCAGCCTAAGGGACAAAAGGGGAGCACATAAAAAGTGGAAACAAGGAGAGATCACCAAAGATGAATACACCTCTCCTCTGCTCATGCTTGTAGGGAGGCAGTTAGACGGGCCAAAGCTACCATGGAGCTGAGGATGGCATCCCAAGTAAAGGACAACAAGAAATTGTTTTTTAGATATACTGGGAGTAAAAGGAAGGCCCAGGGAGGAACAGGACCCCT